TTAAGTTATTGTTAATTGTTATTGGTTTGTTGTATGTGGCTATTGTTCGGGACGAACAATACTAAGGAGGGGCAGTGTTGCGTCAGCGAAATCACGTGACTATTGTCACGCCACCTGCTTTCTAGAACTATCCCGTTCCTTCGGGAGTGCTCTAGCATTTACTGGATTGGGAGGTGGTCTGGTATATATAAGATGGTCACGGCGTGACGTGACAATAATGTGTGTGTAGGTAGTGAGTAATTGAACTGCAGTCAGGAAGTATTGTTGAAGTTAACGTTCGTTGTTAAAACGTTTGTAAAAGAGCGACTGTTGAAAATAAGTATATCGGTAAAGTTATATTCAGAAAGAATAAACCAGTTTTATTAAGTAAGAACTTGTTTCGTCGGAACGAAGTTACGGAAAATCAATTAACAAACGGATACGTAACAATACTATGATTTGGTAAAAGAAGCTGGCAACCAGGATGATGTAATAACTGAAAACCTTGTCTAATATCTAGTGATGAGGGTACATGATTTATAGCTACAAATAACCTGTGAGTGAAGTTATTGAGAACACAGTGCTTATACAAGAGTCATTTCAGTGTCAAAAAGTTATTCAATGAAAATTATCGTGCTTATTCGATTACTCGATTGATTATCCATTGATTTGTGCAAGTAAACATATTTTTGGAACTTAGGCGTAGAAACATTACTGAAGGATTTTTATTGAAACATTATTTATGAGTATAGGTCTCTAACTTGTTTCAAAGTGAATATTGCCTATGCAAATTCTACAAAAAATTAGAAGAAATAGCTAATTCGTTAGTGTTACGAGGACTGGACTTGGAAACATTTTAACTAAACAATCCAAAAGAACCCACCTGATGATAGAGCATATCACAACGTTGGTTTTGGAAGTGGGATTATTTTGGTGAAAATAAAATAAAACTTTTATTAATCTTCAAATTTGAGTTATTCTTATTATAAGTAGTAGTAGTAGTAGTAACACTATATTACTTGAAGAAGACCGCACTAGAAGAAAGCGAGATAGGAAACTTCGTAGAGATGATAAAACAATGGAAAGAAGAGCAAACAGAAAGAGACAAAAATAGAAGAACTAGATACCAAAGCAAAAATGAGCAAAAAAGGAAAGGACAGAAGTCCAAGAAGAGAGAAATGGGAATTTAAAAGAATAGTTAAAAGAAATAGATACACTATTTAGAGGAAGAAGTAAAATAAAAAGTAAATGTGTTAAAAGACCAGATTGATGATCCAGTTGGAAATCTACAGAGGGATTACAACACTAAGAATGGAAAGCACAGAATAAGATCAATGAAGTAGAGAAAGGCTGTAATGAATGAACTAAAGAAGTAATCAATGACAGAGTAAAACAATCGGAAAAAGAATGAGTAAATGCAGAGAGTAAAAAAGCCACACACCTTTCTGCATGTGACTGAGAATTTTAACCTAAAACACCATTTACTATTAAATATGAAATGGGAGAAGCTATTTGATCTACACCTATTACCACTATTGCTGTGCTATCTGTTACTGTAAGACTTTCCATGATTAATCCGACCATTTCACTACCAAATACATTTCATAATTTAGCTGCACAATTCAACAACATCATCTGATTGAGAAACGAAAATCACATGATTGAAAAATACCATGGGAAATATATCAGGTGGATCAATTCAAAATAATTTTCAAACAAAAGTGAATAAAAAGCACTCATCTTGCTGCTCACTTAAAAGGATTAGTTTTAGTAAAATTAAATAATCTTCCAGCTGAGAGCCATAGCAACTATCAATCATTGGTTGCTGCCTTATGCAACAAATTTGGAGAGACAGAAGGAAATATCCAGAACAGAGTACAGGGGAAAAATAGACCTTAACTGAACTTTCAGAAGACTTGGAAAAGCTTGCCCCACTATTTTATCGAGATGGTGAATTGGTATCTGACCAATATATATACACATAACAGACAAAAACATAAGCTGTTCATCTTTATAAGAAACTCTATAGTTGGTGATGGAGATATAATCCGTTAAAATCACAGATAAACAACTAAAAATACCATCTAAAAGTCATGGATTACGAGACTGAGTTGTGGCATCAACTCTTCTTTACAATAGTCTTAAACAGCTGAAAGGATTAGTTAGAAAACTAGTTGCATAGAATGGGAGAACTAAACCACAATTCCCAGTGTATCTTGAAGGGACACATTACCAGGAAAGGTAGACAAAAGTGTGCAAGGAATAACTCCTCCCAAAGGATGTCAGAAAAAGGTAACTGTTATAAATGTGGGGGAAATGGCTGTCAATCACATCTGATGCTATAAGGAAAGAACATCTCTTAGTACACTATTGAGATAATTCCATAAAGATGAGCTTATGAGCCCAAACAGATTAGAATAACAACAAAGGGCTAACCAGACATTTGGAAATAGCAATTAGGAGGACTTGTAGGGCAAAGGTCAATTGAGAATACCATATCTGTCCCAAATAAGAAAATAAATACATTATTTAAAAAAAAAAAACAGAACACAGGTATAGGGCTTTATTGATGGGAAGCAGTATGTGGATCAACAGTTGTTCTATAGCTACAGGTTTGATCCAATTTGGTGGTCAGAGGTGGAAAATTACCTCAAACAAATGCTGAAAGATGTATTGATGCAAACAGGAAGTGGACACAATGTACCAGTAACAGAAAAGTCAAAAGTTACCCTTATTGTAAAAACACTCCTCTACTCCTTATGATGTGTGAGTAATTGCATTGTGGAAGAATAAATATTGGGAACTGAGTTCATTTGGGGACAGAGATGAAAGGTTGGGCTAGCTTCAGTTAGCTTCGTATTCTATGAGAAGGAAATCACTGTGCATTACATGACAGTTACTACACCAGAGATTGAACTTGCTATGAAAACAAGAGGAGCAGTTATTGTACCACCAAGAAGTGAAATACTCATACCAGGAATTATTAGGAATAAATTTACATCTAGTGGCAAGAGTGTGGTTAAACCAAACACTCCAGTATATCCAGAAGGAGTAATATTTGGAAGAACTTTTGTGGATCGGAAAATAAAGATGTATCATAAAGGCCATAAACACAACAAACTACAAGTCTGGATGAGAGATTTCAGAATGTGAAGTTCTGCAAGTATTACATTCAACAACGTCACAAGTTTTGAGGTAAAATGTAGGAAGTCTGATGTAGAATAAGAATTATGGAAGTCTTACAGCTGATGAATGCCAGAGATTACATGACTTTCTAATGGATTATCGAGACACCTTCTGCAGTGGATCTCATGACTCAGGCCGAACAAATAAAACATCTCATAAAATTTATATTGGAAATGCAGCCTAACACATCAATTAGCCAGAGGACTTTCACTTACAAAACAGGCTGAGGCTTTCAAAGGAGTAGAAGTTATGAAGAAACAAGGAATGATAAAACCTATTATACTTGTTAAGAAAAAGGATGCATCCACAAGATTCTGCATGGAGTATTGGATTGTAGTATGCTTACCCACTGGCAAGGATTGATTCTACTTTCGATGCTTTACCTGAACAAGAAAGGTTTTCAACATTGGATCTTAAGAGTGGATATTGAAAAATGCAAGTAAATGAAATAAGTAGAGAGAAAACAGTCTTTACTGCACAAAATGGATTGTGGCATTTTGTCATGTTACCATTAGGATTATGTAATGCACCTGTGCAGTTTCAATGACTTGCAGACTGCACTTTCTCTGAATTACCCGGGAATGTCATATTCATCTACTTTGGTTGGTGACTTAATTACACA